ACGTGTGTTTATTTAAGCGCACCAGGACAGGGTGAGCAAACCCTGCCAACCATCCCGTTGTTAAGAGGAGCCCCAGTGCCAGGGAAACCATCGCTTTTATCAAATGCTGAACTTGGGGCAAAAATGCCAACATTGCCCCGGCAGCGCCCATCGGGAAGGACGCTCTCATCCGCGGAGGCAGGAGCAGCCTCGGGGCTGTATCATTCCCAGGAACAAAGAAAGGAATACAGTCGATACATTCCATAACGTTTACATTTTCCCTCGATTTTTTTTCTTATTTTTCTCTTAGAAGAAGTGACCTGGGCAAAGCACCCTGCTATCTAAAAGACACTGTTATAGACCTTTTAGAAAAACTAAGTCCAAGGCCGAGGTGAACTTCAGGTCACCGCGTCTAACAAATATGAAAATGTCGCCTGGTGAAGGGCACGCCTTGTTATTTAACAAAGACTGTCAATGTGTAAGATTAATAAGAAACAAAATGCACACGGTGTCACTTTTCGGTCACTTTGAAACTTGGGACAGCCTCGCATTCAAGAGGGGAAAGCTGGGACTAAATATATTCAAAATGGTTCAAATCAAAGTCAAACCAGGCTGCTAGTGCGATTCTTCCTCCTCCTACCGCTCTCGGTGGAGGATGCCCGGCACGGCAAAAGGTTGACTTGAATTATTATTATTATTATTATTATTATTATTATTATTATTATTATTATTATTATTATTATTATTATACTACAACTATTATTATTGCCGTTGTTATTATAATTTTCTCTTTCGTGGTAATTATGTCTTAGCTGCGTATGTGGAGGGTAACAGGAATGCTTGCCTGTTTCACAAGAAAAAGAGGGATCCCCTTTTTGTCCCTCTTTCGGTATGTATTGAGTTGCTTCTTCTTGGTGCATGAAAATTTACTCTCTCCCTCTCAACTTAATTCCAGTGCTGTCCCCATCCCATTCTCGGCCAGCCTCGGCCAGGAAACTCTCTCTTCTTTATTAATTGATTGAAGTCTCCTTCTCCAGTGAAATCGAGCCTTTAGTCCTTCTAGAAAAATAAGGGAGCTGGCCTATTTTATCCTATCCTTTTCTTTCTTTGAGAACTTAGGGTGATGGTACAAGTTTGTTAAAGGGAAGTACTGGGGGAAAAAAGGGTTTGAGATTGTTTATTACAGCCATAAATCTTGCAGTAAAATGTCGAAATGGCCGTGTGCAAGATAACACTTGGTGGTCTTGGCTGGGTTCTTGTTTATGATAACAAAACCAGAAAGACACGGAACAGGCCTTTTGGAGGTCCTGCTTCAGCACATCTTCACAGACCAAGAGCACCGCACGAAAAAGCCAGACTTGAGCTGGGCAGCTCAGGTCACCTTGCAGATTTACACTCGTATACAAAACTGAGTCCTTCTCTCTGTAACCAAGTGCCAGAGCCCTCCTGTAGAAAAGGGCACGGTGAAACTTTGAGATCTAATCGCAGTAAATAGTATGAAGCAGAGCCCGGCCAACTCTCCCAATATAGCGGTGATCTTACAAACCGAGACAACACTTCTCGTTGTGTTTTACTGTGGCGTGGGAACACGGCAGCCCGCCGTAGTGCTCCGGCCACAGAGCCTCAGGACTTATGCCGAGGATAATATTTACGATACCCCAGTGTAATTCATCTGGTGCTAGCCGGCAGGTATTTGTATGTATGCGTCTCTGTATGTGCATGTATCTCTTTATACCGGGAAAATGCTATCGTGGTTGGACTTCGGCGGTCTTTTTTTTTAACAGTCATACAGATGGGAGCTTTTTTCCTTTTAGGAAATGGGTTTGCTGTTGTTTTGTTGTTTGTAATCTAAATAAAACAATCTCCCCTTTTCTATGAAATGTGTGCTGTTGAGGAGTTGCGGCTGTCTCTGTGTGTAACCGCGTGTGTGTAACCGCATTTCCTCTCCACGCAGAGTAAATAGAGAAACTTATCTATTACTCTAGTTAGAGTTCCATAGATGTGCTGTTGGAAATGAGTAAGTAAATGTGTTTTAACTCTCTTTACAAATTAGACATTCGATAGTAGGAGGAAATGAGTGATTGTTTAGATAAGTACCCCAGTATACCCAAGTGCTGGAAATGTTCTAACATATTACAAGCCGCATGCAATGTGCGTGCCTATGTGTCTGTGGATAAAATATAAATCGATACGCTGTGTGTCTTGTTAGATAGAATATATATTCAAATAGAATTTTATTGCATGTATCCATTATCTATTAAACTGCAAAAGACAATAATCTGAATTTAAACCAGGGTAACTGTTAGTGTAATATCTTTAGGAAGGCAAGATCTAAACTGTATCATATTTACGCTTGATATATTAGAAGTATTTTCCCATACCAGCAGATGAGATTTAGCCACTCAGCAATTATATTCTCTAAGGGTGTGGTAAATATTTCTATCTGCTTATATTCTTTCCTGTACAGATAAAAAAAATAATCTGGAAAAGTTCGCGCCTACTCCAAATGTGGCAGACTAACTGACTTTCAATAAGTACTTTTTGTCCCCTTAGAATAAGAGCGTAATTAGTTTAACCATCAAATTTCAATTACCTAAGGTCAGGGCGCTTGCCTCGTTTCCCCCTGAGCTGCAAATACCGTTAGCAGTCTCAGTTTTAGTAACCTAGAAGTGCCCGGGTGCCCTCTCCCTCCTACACCAGGGTTTGCGAGCTACTGCTGCGAAGGCGCTAGCGATTTCTTATGGAAGTGAAAATTAAAAATAAACCCCAGACGAGGCACACCAAACCAACGGACTTAAATTCGTAGTTCAGAAAGCTCTGCTCCGCGGGGAGGGATGCTCCCAGTGAGCCCTGTAATCGCCGGTAGGAAGTGTTTGATACCGTCGTGTCCGTCTTCCCCTCTCCCTTCCCCCTCTGTTCCCCGTAATTTTCAGGCTCTCTCTATGCCTTGCTCCCCGCAAGCCCCTCGAGGACTCTCCTCGGCCTCCCCGAGACCTTCGTTCTAACTTTCCCTCCAATTAGCCCAGCTCCAAAGGGGCACAGGGCTGTCCCTGGAGCCTGGGCGGTCCGCAGCGGCGGGGCGCTGGGGACAGAGGCTGCAGGGCGGCCGGTGGCCTGTGCCCGACAGCCGCTGCCGCCCTCTGCCTGCGCGCAGCCCCGGCGTTCGGAGATGGGCTCGTTCAAAGGGATTGTGCAACGCCTTGTGCAATGCCTGCCTCCCTCTGGATCGCGCAGCTGGGCTGCGCTCCGCTTCCTCGCCCCGCTTCCTACACTCTCCCACGGGAGAACGAGGACACAAAAAGTGCTGGGGCAGGCGGGGCGGGTGGGAGACTGTCAAAGCCGGATTAGTTTTATCTCGCTTGACACCGCGACTGCTGGACGCGGCCCGGACCGGCGGGCGGGAGGAG